TCAAAATTGCTTTTTTTTTTTGTCATAACATTGTTCATCGAATAATAACAAGTCATCTAAGAAAAGAAAAGAACAAAAACATTCTAAGGCCTATATCTAAGCATTTCACCAAATGGGCGATTTATGTTAAGTGGGTTAAAAATATATTTTAGTGTGCGTTTTCAAATTTTTTTTTTTGTGATTGTTAACAGTATATTTGTTTAAAAACTAAGACCAACCAAATGGATTTTTGAATATTATTATTATTTCATTATATTACTCTATGGAAAATTTTTATTTATTTATATGTTTCTAGAGTTTACATGGGTCTTTTTTCATTATTTTTTGGCAAAATATTGTTTTCTTCAAAGAGGTTTTAAAGTTTATGTTTAACAATAAAACCAAACAAATGGTCCTAAAATGGTTTTTGAAGATTGTTGCATAAAATCACTCCTATATACATAATGGCAATTTTTTAGGATTTATTTGTTTGGGCTTAAAATCAAATTTTTGGCATAATATTATTTTCTTTAAATTTAGGAAGTTTGTTTTTGGTATATATGGTTTAGGAAATTGACATGTTGAGTTTATCAATTCCATGTAGAGTTTATCAATTCCAATAATTCAACCTCTCTATATTTATCAAGTGGTCATGATCAATCACCTCTCTCTCCGCCCCTCACTCAAAAAGTTAGGAAATCATACAGAGATATAATATAAATTTATAAAGCTGAGATTTAGAGTTTATCACTTACTATAATTCAATGTTTTGGTATTTTTGTGCGTTCGAACTCTCTTTAACCTCGCTAGCCCCTTTTTAAAAAATTTAAAAGATCAAAGAGAGAGATTTTAGGTTGTGAAATTGGGTGGCTACACTCATTTTATTGACCAAGCTCAAAGTTTAAAAGGAAAATTTTTGAACTTTGTAACATACCCAAGCTATCAGATTTCACATCGGATGGTTATAAATAGTTGTGACCTCCCTATGCCAAAAGTAAATAGTCTCATAATGTACACTTCCTAAAAACAATTTATCAAAATCCCTAAAATTTTGGTAGTTCTCTCTGATTCCTTCTTTTGTTATACCCCTGTAGGTATCATACCCTAACTTTGGAACTGCAGACCATAGATTCTCTCTCACCCTAGGGTCCCTTTTTATTCAAGAGGCACGTAATGCAATATAGACAGATAAAAATATTATTGTAAAATAGTATTAATGATGTTAATGATATTAATAATAAATATTTAAAATAAAATACAAATATAATACAATATTATTTTATGAATACTAATACCAATATTAATAATAAATATTAAAATATAATACAATATTATTTTATTAATGCTAATATAAATATTAGTAAATATTGTAATAAAATTACGCAATAATTAATATTAATATCATACGTTATTAATAGATTAAGATTAATAATATAAGATCATAACAACAATATAATAAGGTTATATAGTATTATTACAATATACTATTACTATGTTATAATCCCATACTATAATGAAATATTAATAATATTAATGATTTTGATGATATTTCATAATAAATATTTTAAATATAAAAAATAATAAATGTTCACAATAACAATATTAACAACAGTAATAATGAGAAATACTAAATATCAAATAAAAATTATAACTACATAATAATATCATTGTTACAACGATTATAGAATATTATAATATCATAGTATTCCGAAAAAGAGGAAGAGGAGTGAGAAAGAATAAAAGGGTTGGCACGCAAATCGGAGCCAATGACATTTTAAGAAAAGAAAAAAAAGAAAGATAGAATGTGATCTATGCATAAAATTAGAAAATGTTAACATAATATTAACATTAATTTTTTTAGGATTTTATATATTATAAATAAGTTAATTTATTATATATTTTATTTTATACTTAATGATAAACTAAGTTTGTTTTATTAATTAAATATTTAAGAAGTTGACATTCAAATTGAGCTCTTAAAATGATAATATTTTAAATTATGATTTCTTAAAAATCTAGCCTTTTATATGAAAACTTTTACCTTTAATAAAATATTGATGCATTTTTTAAAACTTTAAAATAGATTTGATATTTTATTGTCCAACTCAAATTTCTATTTTATAAAGTGTGTATTTCAAATAGTTTATGAATTAGAAATAATGAAACATTTTATTAAGAGTGAGGTTTGTATAGGGTGTCAACCTTAAACAATCATGACAAGGTGCACCTCAAAATCTCATTAAAAGATGTATTTTCGGTGCCAAAACTCTTATCATAACCTAAAAGTCTAATTTTCACCCGTATAATGAAATTGAAAGCTCCGAAAATGGAGCAAATCTAGCAGATCTTTGTGGTCGGCCATGGATTTTCCCGGTCACGCGACAAAACCATGTTCTTTGAAACCACGGTGTCCTTCTTCTTATTTTAAGAGAGAGGAAGAGAAAAGAGCGTGTGTGTGCCGCGTCTCCCTTTTGGGCTCACACGCGTGAGGATGACTCTGGTGTCTGCTAGGATAAGGGTCGAACTGTAGGGTATGTGTGCGGTTCGAACCAACGAAAGAAAGAAGCGCGAGGTAAGCCTTACCTCACTTGATTGGGTGCATCCTTACCTCACTTGATTGGGATCGGGATGCACCCAGGCGCTTAGCCCTCTTAGATCAGTTTGAGGCTCGGTTTGGCTTTGGCTCCTGTGCAACTGATGCACAACATTAACACCCACTTGATGAAAGGACTTGAAACTTCGTCCCTTTTGCTCGCCTTTTGTCATAGGATTTATGGGATTTTGAGGGCTTCGACGATTTAAGAAGTTAAAAGAAGAAGGAGAAGATAGAGTACAGAAAAAGAAGAAGAGGTAGAAGAGAGAGAAAATCACCTCAAAATTGGGCAGCCTTCTGCCGTCACCTCCCCAATGAGGTATTAACCGGATGACAATAAAGGTATTAGGCGTGATGCCTGAATACTCCAGTGGATTGACAATAAACTATACTGGAAGGATAAGCCTAACAAAGATGAATATCAGAAGAGCCTCCTAAATACGATGAAGAAGAAGTAGATGTGAGAATGAGAATGAAGAGAGAGAAGATGAGATGAAAGAGAGAAGAAATAAAGAGAAGCGAAAGAGAGAAGAAGTAAAGAGAAGCGAAAGAGAGAAGATCCTCTCCCACCTTAGACTGACCTTCTTTCAAATGCCCCTTGGTCAGAGGACTCACAATGGTCAGAAGCATTTCAGAAGTATGGAGGAGGCTAGGACAGTTGAAGGAGGTAATAAAGAGATGAGAGAAAGAAACCTCCTCGATTCTTGGGCCGCCATCCGATGTTGCCCTTTGGTTAGAAGTCAATGTGATTGGAGGTGGGTTTCGAGATATTGAGAGAGGAAAAGAGAAGAAGTGAGAAGAAAATAGAGAATAAGAGAGAGAAGAAATGGGGGGTGAGAGAGGAGGAGAAGAGGGATAGAGAGAGAGAGTGAGATGAAGAGGGGGCAGAGAGACAGAAGAGAAGGGGGAGAGAGAAGACATGAGAGTGAGGGAGGGAGAGAGAAGAGAAGACAAGAGAGGAAGAGAGAAAAAGGAAAAAGAGGAGAAGAGAGAGTGGGGCAGCGCCTAGGCTGTTTGCCTTTAGGATAGGGAGAGTGAGAGAGAGGGAGAGAAGAGGGGAGAAAGGAGGTGGGAGATGAGAGAGAGAGAAGGGGTGAAAAAGAGAGGTCGAGGCAGCTGCTAGCCCACCGCCCTTAGAGAGAGAGAGAGAAGGAAAGCCACCGCCTTTAGAGAGAGAGAGAAGGAGAGCCACAGCCCTTAGAGAGAGGGAGAGGAGAGCCACCGCCCTTAGAGAGAGAGAGGAGAAGGAGAGTAGGGGAAGAGAGGAAGAGAGAGGGAGGGAATTGGGGTAGAGGTTAGGCCGTTAGCCCAAAGAGAGAGAGAAGAAGAGAGAAAAAAAGGGCTTGACAAACAAGGAGGGTGTGAGAGCCCAAGCAAGAGAAAGGGAGGGAGATTGCGAGAGAAGGAGAGAGAGTTGATTGGGCCCATGGCTAGGCCGTGAGGGACCCAATCAAGGAGAGAGGAGAGAGAACATGAGAGAGAAAGAGAAAAAGAAAGGGAGGAAGAAGAAGAAGAAGAAAAAGAAGAGAAGATGAAGGAGGAGAGAAGATGAAGGAAAAAAAGAGAGAGAGAAGAGAAGAGTGAATTGGGTCCCTAGGTGGGTGAGGTGTAGATTTGAACCCGCCGACTAGGTGTGCTTCCAAGGTCCCTTGAAGGTGCTTGAGAGAGGACTTGGGTCCTTGGGTAGAACATTAGGGTGTATGGTCAAGTTAGGCTAGATTTAATTAACTAGGGAGTATGGTTGGTTTAGGTTGGGTAGATTAGGGTAGTCTAAGGTTTATGGTTTAATATGAGCTATGGTTTAGAGAAAGGTAAGTGGTAGGGAATATAATTGATGGGTTAAGTATGATGTACGGACTAGGCTCAAGTGTCGTGAATGGACTAGGGTAGGTTACGTGTGGTATAGGGGGTATGGAGTATAGGTGGTATGGACTATGAGTGGTATGTACTATGGACTAGGGTTAGGTGGTATGGGTAGTGTGGCTCAAGGTTTGGGTAGGATAGTCCAAGGGTAGTCTTTCAATTGCAAAATATTTCTCTCTCATCTCTCTTGGGGTGGAAATGAAAGCATAAGCATAAGAAAATAACAAACACAAAGCATTATCTTAATAATTTTCCACTGTAGATTACAAACGAATGATAAAGAGCTTATATATGATCTCCCCCAAACATGGGTGGATGATCAAAAGAACATAAATTGCTCAAAATTATATTTTTATTGAATTAAAAGTGATTTTTATTTTTGGGGCAAAATGATTGTTTTGTCCTAAAGGTAGCAATGGATCCAGACCCAACCAATTCCTACCGGGTATACCCAACATAGGTTAGGGTATAGGTCCGAGTTTTGGACCGGTAGGTAGGGTCCGGGTCCAATAAAGGATACCTGGATGGGAATAATTAACTTTGCCGAGTCTTGCTGAATCACTGGTCAGGCAATCGGATAGGAGGCAGCCATTGCAATCCCACATATGCCTTCAGGTGCAGCAACATCGCGTTGCATCCTTATGTATCCTCTCTCCCCCCATTCTGTGCTCCAAGAGTTCTTTACCAACCAGTATTTCAACCCATCCTCAGTTATTCCATAGCCAACAATCAAGACTTCATGATCCAAATTGGTTCCACACTCACCGGTGAAGACCCCCTCAGAGTAAAATCCGAAGGCCTTACTTCCAGCGTCTATAGATACAGCAACCGGGTGGTTGGCAACAGCCTTGAGCAAGGCATTCTCATTGTTCGGTGGTATGTATCTGTAACCTTTAATTTTGGCCACCCAAGTAGAAGGTTCCTCGGTGTTGCATGTGCGGCTCACACCGCGGTATGGATATTCAGCCTCAGTACTTAAACCGCAATTGTCCACGATGCTTTGAAATCCATCTTCCTTAAAGCCCCCTTTGCACCCCTGGCTCCTGGTTGTATTGACACAATCCACCAATTCTTGCTCAGATAGAGACACCAATTTTCCAGTCCTGATCTGAGTTATGCTTTCGACGGCAGCCACGGCACCAAAAGCCCAGCAGGAACCTGCGTCATCAGGAAAGACATTGTAAAATTGTGATAGTCCGGGGATGGAATGAGGCCCAAGGTGAGGGTCTCGTGAGGTTTTCCTTTGATTCGAACTTGGGACATAGTGCTGCCATCATTGACAAGCCCGATCCCAATTCAAGTGAGTTTTACTCATCACTGCCAGTTCGACTGGCAGGGAAATCCATTAACAATATTCAATAAGGATAATTTTTCCACCAGGCTTGTGTTTGCATTTCTGATCCAATTATTTGAAAAAGGGCTACTAAATCTCACTTACCAAAGTAAAAAAAGGAAGAAGAAAGATATGATTTAGTTTCTAGTAGTGTTTTAAACACTGGATTGACAGGGTGAACCGGCCTTCTAAAAATTCGATTTGACTTGCTCAATAAAAAATTAAATACGAAAGAAAGTAAATTACATAAAAAATAATAGAAAATATAATGGGTGGGAATTAGGGGATTCCGCCTATCCAAATAGCCAAGTTCCCGGATAGACACACCTAATTCCATCGTTTAAGTGATGGAACTAGGGAAATCCACATGAAGACACACTTAGTTCCATCGTTTATGTGATGGAACTAGGGAAATCCACATGAGTCGAGCCGATCCCTGGTTGAGACAAAGAACTAGTTCGGCAAGGACTAATTCTCGAACTAGTTCGGCAGGGACTAATTCTCGAACTAGTTCGGTAGGGACTAATTCTCGAACTAATTTGGCAGGGACTTATTCTCAGCCCATCTAGACTGTTGAATTTGAAATCGCTAATTAACTTAGTTAATCCTTCTCGGCCCTATCTAGATTGTTGAATTTGAAATCACTAATTAACTTAGTTAGTCCTTCTCGGCCCTATCTAGACTGTTGCATTGAAATCGCTAATCAAATATGGGACATATTTCTTTAGTTAAACCAATGTTAGATTCGCTTCAAAGACTTCTTCGGTTTGGTGAGAAAAATGAAGCAATTCAGTGTTTCGGCCGATTGGAGGAAGACTTCGGGTTTTTTTTTTAAAAAAATTAATATATAAATATATTAGATACTTATATAAAAATATATAAAAATAATGAAAAAATAAAAAAATAAAAAAATTTTAAAAAATAAAAAAAATAAAAAAAGAAATAAAAAATACTTTTACATAGATATTTCTTTGCTTATTAGGTTCAAAGGGCTCAAGCTTCGGCCGAATCAATTCGAAGTAGATCCGAATCTGACCAAAGTTTTCCAAATAAGACCGAAACGGCAGCACTAAGCTTTACTTTGCTTCGATCTATGCCTACGATGCGAAGGCTTCGGCCTCTTCGAGCAAAGAGGAGCGAATTTGACAACGTTGAGTTATACATGACTAAGAAACTGTTTTCAAGAAATTTTGCCATCATTCATTGTTATCGGTGATAGTAGTAGTTGTCAACTGCTCAGTCATATCTGATTAAACTTAATTGTTATCGGTGATAGTAGTAGTTGTCAACTGCTCAGTCATATCTGATTAAAGTTATCGGTGATAGTAGTAGTTGTAACTGCTCAGTCATATCTGATTAAACGAAATGGCTATCACTAACTGTTCAAGAATTGAGGACAGGGAATTATACTATCCTACAAAATAAATTTTGGATTTTTTTTGGCCTTGAGTAAACTTTAACTCAAGGTAGTTTTACACCGTCCATTTTACAACATATTATCTATACCGTCTATTTTCAAGATGTTCATATGTTTATAGATCTACTTGATTTTAACCATTTTTGAAATTTAAAATTTTATAATTAGATATAAAAATAGATTTGGAGATAATCCTAAGAACATTTTAGGTCAAACTTATATATCTTGATAAAATTTGAAGGTGCACCTTACCTCTACACCTACGGATGCATCCGTATCCGTATGCCAACTGCACCCAAAAAAAATTGGCACTTTGGATATGTTTGTAGGTTGAATGAACAAGAAAACCAATTTAGAGTTATGCAAAAACATTTGTACTAATTTAGTTTGGGTCCCAAATAAACAAAAAGAAAAAGAAGAGTCCAAAGATATAAAGTCAAACCACTCAAATTACGGCAGAAAAGTGAGATTAAATTATGGTTGGCGCAAACACAACCCATGTATATCCAAAAGCATGTACATCCAAAAGCATGTACATCTGAGACCATCTCACATACAAGTGAGATAGAGACTTCCTAAGTGAGATAGAGACTTCCTTAGGGTTAATATTAATATAGACGGTGTGGAAATATCCATAAAAGAATCATATCTTAAATATTGGTTTTTTTTTTCTTCCAGGTCATCTTAGCCCATATCATGCATCCCTAAAATTTTGGATTAAAGATACGTCTTTAAAATATATTTGTTAGGAGGCCCGCACATGTACAATATGAGACGGCTGACTCATAGAAACCCATCGTTTTGTTTAATTCAATTTTATATCCAGGCCTCCCTCAAATTCAATGGACCTGTTGAGGTTATATAACCTTCAAATCTTTTTGCCTACTCAAAAACATCATCTTGAGCTCTTTCTTATTAATATTTTCAATAAAAAGCCAACTTTTGAAAGTGAAAAAATTCAAAAAAGAAAAAACAAGTAAAGAATGTAATCAATAAGGAAACCCCCCATATATAATGAAGCAAAAAGGCATTGAATGAAGCGAAAGGACAATGAAGCATTGCTGTTACTGCTGTTTCAAAAGAATTTTACTGCAAATATTTCAAAAACAATAAAAAACCGGAAAATCTAAATGTTGTGTGTTACCGCAAGTGAAACCCTGATCTTTGACAGGAGTTACAGCGCCTTTCTCTCTCCAATCCAAACTCTGAGGCACCGACACATTATCATACTCATGCATGAAGGCTGAGGAGAAATTGGAAGCATTAATAGGAGGCCTGAACCCCATACGCAAGAACCTTAATTCATCTTTGGTCCTATCTGCAAACATGTTGGCCTTCAGCTTAAACGGTCGCTTCTCAGCATTTACAGAGTCTATGAATCTCGCATTGTCTTCGAATATTTTCAAACGCGATTCTTGATCTGAGGCGTGCTCATATGCACGGGCATAATTGGCCATCCACTGTGTAAAACTTTGAGACGGCAAGCTATCGACTTGTGTCCTGGGTGTTGACCATGGGAGCTGAAGGGCAGTCGTCGTTTCAACAAGGGTGGTGAGGAACAGTGCCAAAGACAAGCAAGAGAGGGTGAACCGAGCCATGACATAGATTAAATGAGAGGAGAGAATTTGTTTCTCTTTCATTTTTATTTGTTTTTATCAATGGTGCAGTTGGCATCCGCAGGTATAGAGGTAAGGTGTATCATGGTATGTAATTTTGATGTAAAATGTTCTTAGGATTATCTCAAAATCTATTTTTATATCTAATTACAAATTTTAAATTTTAAAAACGGTTAAAATCAATTAGATCTATAAACATATGGAAATCTTGAAAATGGACGGTCTAAAAAATATGTTGTAAAATACACTATTTCTAAGATTTAAAATCTTTTTATTTTTCATAGTCATATATCTAGATGCCGAGATGATCAATCAAAGGGTTTTTCAACATTGAAACTACCTTTTTCCGATAGATTTTTGAGAAGCAAAGAACATTGGAGATGATCTCTCATATAAGCTCCTTGTTTTATGACCCCGCTATTTCTTTCTCTTCCATTTAAAACTTAGCATTTCTCTCTTTTTTAAGTAACCCTAGTTTCTCTCTTTCTCTTCCATTTAAAACTTAGCATTTCTCTCTTTTTTAAGTAACCCTAGTTTCTCTCTCTTTTTCTTCTATTTAAAACTTAGCATCTCTCTTTCTTAAGTAACCCTAGTTTCTCTCTCTTTCTCTCGTCTCTCTCCCTTGCTTTTCAACTTGGTTTCTCGCTCCCAACTTGTGTCTCTCTCCACCATCATACTCTTATTAGATGTGAGATAGAGAGAGATTGACGTGGGGATAAAGAGATTGAAGTGGGGGAGAGAGAGGGAGACTTTTTTTCATTTAGAGAGATCTAAATTCTATATCCTAATGAGAGAGGGACGCTTAGTTGAAATAGAATCGCCCCATACCTATTGATAGATCGTGAGAGGGACGCTTAGTTGAAATAGAGTCGCCCTATCTTCATATAATATGCGTAGCCCAATGGTTTAAAAAGCAGATCGGTGACTCGGATCGGGCATCTCAAAAACCGATCCGGATCGGCGAATCGAAGATTCGGATTGGGAATCGGGTGAATCGGTCAGAATAAAGCTTCAAAAAAATCCAAAAAAATTATAAAAATTCATTATAAATATTGTTTTTTAGGAATTCAATAAGAAATGCGGGTACTCCATTAAGAATTTTCATGTTTTTTCATGAATATGCAAATATTGATATGTTCTTTCCTTGCATGAACTACTATTTAGCATTTAATTTACATCACACAAAAGGATAAACATAGAATTATCATGGAATGAGTATATCAACATACATGGACTACAATAAAGCATACAATTAGTAACATACGATCTAAAAATAAAATGACAGACGACGTTGTTGTTCTTCTTGGTCACGCTGGTGCCATTGATTGAATTCGTTTGACAATTCATTGATTCGATCTAAAAACGAATCATCGATATTAGCAGGCGTCTGACTATACCCAAATCCCTGAGTGTTAGTGTTTTGTTGTGTTCCCAATCCAAAATCTCTGAAGCTTGTCCATCCTTCATGCTCACCTACACTGTCGTGCTCATCCCTACATTGTTGCTGTTGGGACTCGATATGTGGATAGGGTGGCCTCAAAATCATCGTCTCTCTCATTTTCTCTTAGACCCCCTTCCCACTCTCCCTCATTAGGTGCAACATCACCGTCATCTCCGACGAATTGTGGATACGTTGGCTGACTGCTTCCTCTTTCATGCTGCTCATCACCTTCTTCAAGATCTTCCTCACCGATAGCCTCAAAGAACGCTCTCTTGTGCAACACTGGCTCCTCCTCTTCTACTACCCATTGGTCTGCTGTGTCTGTGACAAATATTGTGTCTAAGTCTATCGGCCCATAGTCTTCAAGCTTCCTTCTTATTTGTCGCTCTCAGAGGTTTAAGTTGTAATGAACGTAGACTAGTTTATGAAGCTTCTTCGAAGCGAGTCGATTCCTCTTAGTAGTGTGCAACCATTGGAACGTACTCCAGTTGCGCTCACAGCCAGTAGCAGAACATGTCTGGGAGAGCACCTTGATTGCTATCCTCTTTAGGTGAGGTGCATCAGTACCATATATCTCCCACCATTCAGCTGGATTAAAATGCAAAAAGTATTGTAAGGGCAAGAACAATTCATAAGATTAAATATATGAATGAACAAAATATTACCGAGGGGATAACCTGGATCCATCATAGTTCGAGAATTCCTGGCAAGTCTAGTTCCGAAGGATCCTATAGCATCCCTATACGTAGCAAGCTAAAACAAATATATTACGTTTTAGTGCATTAATCCTCACAAATATAACAACTCAATGAAGTTCTTACCCAAACATTAAATAATACCTCTCGTATTGCTGCGACTTGGTTATGATGGCTTCTCTCCAACCTTGCAATAATGTATCTGACCCCTTCCATAATCTTGTGGGGATGTTCAGGTGTCAAATAGAAAAATTTTGGGTTGAAGTAGTAACCTACAAAATATATAGATAGAAAAATGTCATTTACAATTTCATAAAAAAATGATTTAAAATGAAACATTGTAATGATATAAATATATATTTACCAGCATAATGAATTGGACGTCCAAATTTAGTCTTCCACCTCCTTTCTATAATCTTCATCGCTTTGCAAGCAAAACTACACTTCTCCCCAATAGCTGATTTTGCCCTCTCAATATCTTCATAAAGGATACCCATGGTAGCTTTCTTGTCAGCGTCCACAATTCTTAACACTGTGACCAAAGGAGCAGTGGCCTGTACAACACTGGAACATCTAGACCAGAACCGCCTGTTTGAGACTATGTTATACTTTTATACCGGTACTAGACTTCGAGAGGCGGTCATTTAACCACTCTTCATAGGTAAACGATCTCTTTAATGCACCTTCTGATTCTCGAATGGAGTCCACAGCTAAGTAATCGGTCGCAAATCGGGTTATGGCAAGCCTGATTATTTCTTTTTTCTTAGAGTGTTCTCTAACAGAAATAAAATTTTAGAGTGGTTGTATATAAATCTCGACACCAACCTTGCTTCCTCTAGAGTCTCCTTCACAATTTTGATCTCACCGATCTTCTCTAACATAAGATCGATACTGTGTGCAGCACATGGGGTCCATACTAGATGCTTTCCCTTATCCATCAACTTGCTACCCGCAAAAACACATGCACGCGCATTGTCCATAATAAACTGGACTACATGCTTATCTCCCACCTCCTCCACTATCTGATCATATAGTCATACGTAGAAGTTTGCATCCTTCTTCGTCCCTGATACTTCTTTTCTAGACAAAAAAGCTGTACCTTTTGGGGAATAGGCCAAGAAGTTTAAAAACTCCTTTTTGCTAACTTTAATCAACTAACCATCACTCATGAGAGTAATGCCTGTCCTTGGCCAACTCTATTTATATTCTTCAATCCACTTTGTAACTTCCTCCACCTCTTCATCTAATATTGGCCAACTGAGCTCATATGCTGTCGGGGGTTTTACCCCGGGCCCGACTCTCTAGATTGCACTGACCATTGGTGGAAAATATAGGCTATTGGCTGCATCAAAGGGAATCCCTTTATCATAGAACTATTTACCAACATATCTCCCAAACATGTTTCTTGTACCTTTAACCATGCCTTTTAGGGTCATCTGTTGTGACTTAGGCTTTGAGAGAAATGAGTCTTTATGACCATGACCTGCAATACTGGCACTCCTAGGTAACCTAGAAACAATTTCTTCAACATCTGATTCTCCTTGATACATATTGCCACCAACCCCTCCATACATATTTGAGCTGGGCCCGCCATACATGCTCGAGCTGGGCCCATCATGCATGTCTGAGCTAGGCCCACCATGCATGTCTGAGCTAGACCCACCGGGCATTCTAAACCCACGTTCCCTCTGATATTGTTTATGTAAACTCAATCTTGTGGCCATGTCCAGCTCATTATTATATTGCTCTTCTAGGTCATTATTATATTGCTCTCCTGTATTCTTGCTTGATGGTGTATATAAACTAGCTATCTCCTCATTCATCGTATGTTTGGCAATTGTTTTACCTTTGTTAGCATTAAGAATTGCCGCCATCTGTTTTTTTACATTACTAGGGACACTAGTGCATGCAGAAACATCTCCTTTAACCCCTGCCAAGTGTTGCTTGAACCTCTGTACCCCACTACTTATCACTCTTTGGCAGTAATTACAAATAATTTTGTCTTTTTTGATGGGATCAAGTCTGACCCCATGTTGCCATGCAGGGACTTCTGCAGATCTTGACATGATTCAACTGTTTTAAGATGTAAAAAGTATAAAATTAACTTGATAGTTCAACAAGAAAAATAATCACCATGTGTAGTGATAATATGTTGGGGTAGTTCATGTAGTCATATTTGTTGTTATTTGTTATTGCAAAATACCTCTATTGACAATAATATTTTCGTACATATCAATTACAAACATTCAGGATAATGCAAGCTCCAAACATGGCTACAACTCAATTATCAAGAACATACATTTTTTTCATTAAAAAATTAATAATAAAAACAATTCTTCACAGAGCCAGCTAACATCAATCATTCCAACTAAAAAAATGCATTAACAACAGATAAAACAAATACAGTTTTGCGTTAAAAATATAATAACATGCATTTTTTTGCATAAATAATCTATCAACATATAATTTTTTCAACAAAAACTTTAACAATAAAAATTTAAAATATGGTTTAATATCTCATGATAATTAAAACCTTATCACGATTTTCACATCTTTTCGAAAAATTATCATTTTTCAAAAAATTCGATCATGGGAAAAAAAAAAAAAAAAAAGTAACAGCAAACTCAAACAATAAAAATTAAAAATTGGGTTTAATACATCATGATAATCAAAACCTTATCACGATTTTCACATCTTTTCGAAAAATCATCATTTTTCAAAAAATTCGATTATGGAAAAAAAAAAAAAAGTACAACAAACTCAAACAATAAAAATTAAAAATTGGGTTTAATACATCATGATAATCAAAACCTTATCACGATTTTCACATCTTTTTGGAAAATCATTATTTTTCAAAAAATTCGATCATGGATAAAAAGAAATAAAAAAAAAAGGTACAACAAATTTTCAAAAAATTCGATCATGGATTACAAAAAAAAATTCGATCATGGATTAAAAAGAAAAATTACCAAATTTTCAAAAAATTCGATCATGTATTAAATGACAAATTTTCAAAAAATTCGTTCATGGATTACAAAAAAAAATTCGATCATGGATGAAAAAAAAAAAATCACAAATTTTCAAAAAATTCAATCATGGATTACAAAATATTCGACCATGGATTACAAAAATTCAATCATGGATTACAAAAAATTCGATCATGGATTACAAAAAATTCGATCATGGATTACATAAAATTCAATCATGGATTACAAAAAACAAAAAAACAAAAAAAAAAAAATTCGATCGTGGATTACAAAAAAGAAAAAACAATCCGATCATGGATTACAAAAAATTCGATCATGGATTACAAAAAACTCTATCATGGGTTACAAAAAAAACAAAAAACAAAAATTCGATCATGGATTACAAAAAAAAAAAACATTTCGATCATGGATTACAAAAA